CTGAGTTCATGTGTGCACTGGCCCCCCTGTGTTTAGAAGGCCTTGTTTCCTTGGTGTCCTCCAAACCCTCTGGTTCTTATGTTCAGTCCACTTCCTCTTCCACAGTGTTCCCTGGGGAAGTGAGGAGGTATGGTTGATGGAGACATCCCCTTTAGAGCTGAGTAGACATCGTCAATTTTTTAGCTAAGATAAAATACATTCTGAGTGGGTAATTTAAGTAGAATTCGCTAACTGGTCAACCATCTCTAACTGCTCAGGCTCAGACATTTGGTTCAATGGTGCTCCTTTATGAACACAATAAAAGTTTCAAAGCATCTTGCTTTTCTTTTTTGTTTAAACACAGGGAATGACTAACAGTGGTCTCGATTTATTGAGGGCATAAATGTAGTTATCTAAATAACAGATTATTGTTGTAAAGTCTATCAGTGAAATTCAGTGATTGAAGGCATAAGTGTCAGGCTTGTTCCAAGTCCCTTGGCTCCTATTGAATTAGAGTAGATTTTTTTTTAATGGAATTTTTCAGGAATGAATTTAATTGGGTTTAAAGATATATTGCTAGATGTGGCTTCTTTATTAACAAAAGGATAAAGCCAAGAAGAAAAGAGAAAAACAGGAGGGAAAGAAAGGATGGAAAGGGGAAATAAGAGGTATCAGGTGAGGGAGTAGGGAGAAGGCATGGACCCAGTGGTCCTTTTGCTGCTTTTTGATGTCCCTAAAATGCCTGCTGTCATTTCAGCAATCTTTCCAAAGTATTAGCAATGCTCCTAGAACTTGCACAGTGTGAAACCTGCACAGTATGCTATGTACATTCTGGATACCTCATTTCCACAGATCAACTTTGTAGTGGTAGTATTTAAAACGGCGGCACCCGATCTGGCTTGTTTTTATGGGGCCGCCATGTTCTTGGCTTGACAAGGCCTGAGGCCATGAGCAGTGGCGTGCTCTTGTTGTTCTGCCCACGACTCAGGCCAGCCAGAAGCAAGGGCCCTGGTACCCACTAGGCACCAGCGTGGGGGATGGCTCTGCCAATCTACCACACTGTCTCCACAAAGCTTGGCTGAACCCCAAACAATACCTGTCATCCATGCAGGCCCGGTAGGAAAATGAGATTCTAATGCTTAAATATTAATCAAAGGCTTTATATATTTAGAAATGCTCAATTAACAATTTGCCCACACAATTTGAGTTGTTTCCCAATATCTAACCTTAAGATATAAATCGTTACCTAGGACAGTTCTGGATCCATGCGTGGTTCTCCATGTCTGCTACATCTCTCCTCCCTCCTCCTAGCTCCTCCTCTTCCTTCTCCTCTCCCTCTCCTTCGCTCCTCCCACATTAGCTCCTCCCAAATTACCAAGCTTTATTGTAAAATGTATGGGGGGATATCCTGCTAAACAACTTGTTTTTCTATGATGACTAAATAAATAAATAAATAAATAAATAAGGCTCTATGCTACCTAACAAAGTAGGCCCTAGTGTCTTCTGTGTGCTTATGCTATGTCATCAAAGTGGTAATTTACAGTCTCCTCCAAGGCCCAGTTGGGATGTTTCTCTCCTGTAGTACCTACTTGTCAAGTCTAGTATCCAGATCCTTTACCAGAAACTGTCAGAAAATCTTCATGATTGACAAGTCTTTGGTTCAATAGCTGAGACTTGCCTGGTACAACAGACCTAAATGTTTAAGACAGCCCAGCCTTATTTCAAGCTCTGTGAGTTGTTTCTCTGTTTATGAAACCCTAGTCAAAAGTTGCCAGCCACACACAGAAATCCATTATTCATGTTCCTCTCTGATAAGAGATGGCCAAACTTGAACCTATTAAATACTAATGAATTGATGCATTGTCTAGAAAAATAATAAATCCTTTTAGTAGACAGTAAGGTCCAATTTGGTTAAATTCCTGTAAGTCCTCTGGCAGAGAGTCAAGTATCTCCAAATTCAAAAAAGTCACCCAAAACTTCTAGTCTTTGTAGGAATATAACGGTAGACTCCATCCAGATGCTGTTCAGGCTACTATATCTGTTTCAGATATTTCCTCATTCACAGACTCTAGCAGGCACCTACTGAGCTGACACTGAGCTGTTGTGAGACCTTAGCTAACACACTCCCCATGCCTCTCACCCAGGAAGTGAGTTTACACCAAAATGGCTGTCACATCCTCCTTCTACCAGCTCCTCTACCTGTGGCCTGAGGATCAGAGGGCTTGGCTGCAGGGTTGTACTGTGAAATCACCCCCATGCCTGGACAGAAGAAGAGATTCCTACTTCTGGCACATGAGCCTGGGTTTTCTCTCTTCATAGCCCCCACCATGTCTATCTGTCCATCTATCCACAGAGCTAATAACTTTTCTAATACACTCCCAAGTTACTCCCATAATGCATCTGTGTCCTTCTTTAATCCCTCTTCCCATATGAAACTATTCAGTCCCTCGGGAATAGACTAAAAGGTCTTCTGGGTTCTCTCATTCCAAAGTGATCCCTAATGGCATTAAAATTTATTACCTTAACCATGTTATTGAGAGCCTACAGGTGCGACACTGTTCTAGGTGCTTGGGGTGTGGAAGAGAATAACACAATAGCTGTCACTCCTCAGGCCTTGCATTCTAGTAGAGGGATGAGCAGCAAGGATAAATGTGTAGAGAACTAGGAGCAATTTTTAGAAAGCTCAACTCAGAACTCTTTTCTTCAACCTTCCCAATAATTCCGCAAGCTAATTAATTCCTTATCCTGTTAAAACTAGCCAGAGAGGATTCTTTATTTCAGTAACTGAACCTCAACTAATGTGATTAGCCAGCCTGCTTTGTGAAGTCTTGACCCCAATTTCTCTTTTAAAACTATAATAATGGAGTGTCACCCAATATACTGTCCTTGGTTTTAAGTAACTACCTCATTTAATGGGAGGGAAGAAATCATTGAAAGGATTCTGGGCAGCATCTAGGACTACCTTAGAGACTTGAGATCCAGACTAGAAAAACAGATAAATGAAAAGGGAAGACAGGTCCCTGGAACTGTTAGGAAGGGGGTTTTCTTGTTCACTGATTGCCACCCCAACATGCCACATCTTGGGCTTTTTCACTACTTGCCCATGCCAGGTGATATGGTGTCCTCGAATGTTACATGAAGCATCAAAAACGTCATTTAAACATCACTAGGTTAAAATTGATTCGGTTTTTTTGGTTTGGTTTGGTTTGGTTTGGTTTGGTTTGGTTTGGTTTGATTTGGTTTTGCATCACTTTTACATTCCAATGGGACTTCAGATGAAGTATACTCTTCTGGCCAGCTAGAATGGACATGTTACTTGGTAGCCTCATAGTCTTAACCTTCTTCTGCATAACATGTCACCCAAAACACAGAGACCTCTAGCAATATTTGTTTATCCTTGCTCATAAGCCGCTGGTCAGCTCCAAGGCGCTGCTGATCTGAGCCAGCACTAGGCTTCTTTTGAATCATGCAAAAACAGTTGTGGATGGTCAGCTGGGTGCAACCGTATCCATAATGGCTTTCTCATGTATCCAGAAGATTGTCTGGAGTTGGTTAGAGCCAGGAGGGTAGCCAAGCCATGTATCTTTCAGCTCCCAATATCCCAGCCTAAATATCTTCATGTGATGGCAATACTCATGGTTCTATCTGTAACAAAGATGGGCAAGCTCCCAAGCACTTTCACATCTCTGACTATTTTATATTTGGTATTAGCCAATGGCCAAAGTAAGCCATTGAGTCAACCTAGAACATGGGCACAAAGAAACCATGAAGAATTGACAGCCAAGCAAGCACATAATTTTAGCCCAGGGGAATTTTATTCTTCAACTTCCCTAAATTATCTACTCTTCTGAAATTCATGCCAGTGTGAAGCTGATTTTAAACTTGAGAGTTGCAGGATTCCTCAGCACTTCAGATTCCTTCCATGTATTCCCCAATGGTCATGTGTGTGCCTGAACAAGACCCAAACTTTTCACACAGCACCCATTCAGACAAGCAAGCTGTGGAGATCACCTGTTCGTTTTCACAGCCGTTGATATGAATCTGAAGTTCATACAGACACAGATTTTTGTGAGTCCCACTCCCGCTATGTGCTCACAGCTTGGACAGGGTAATATATAGTAGGAGGTAATTCAGTTTCTCTTGATTTCCTTCTGCATGCATTCTTTAGGGCCTGCGATATAAGTATGAAAGATTTAGTCCTTGTCCTTAAACAAATCACAGCCTAAAATGGGGGAATGTGAGTGAATTTGACAATTAAGTTACAATGTGATCATTGAGACAGCAGCAAAAGCTCAGTACATTAGGGGAAGGATTGGAGGAGTGAGAATTAATGGAAGAGGCAAGGTTAAGGGCCTTTGCTGGAACAGAGATAAGAAATGGGGCATCATGGGGGATCAAGGAGGAGTGGGTTGTGGATATGATTACAATACACCGTATATGTATGTCAAATTCTCTGAGAATAAATAAAAATATTTTAAAGAAGTTATGCAGGCTAAACTAAGAAGCAAAGAAGGGGAGGGAGATGACAACTGAGCACTGAAGGGAAAATTGGCTCATCTTGGTGACTGATTAGGTGTAGAAAGGGGATATGGGGATAGTGACGGAAGACTGTGGGTGAGCTTGTGGATAGTAGTATGTACAAGAAACATTTCCCCACATTGGGAGCCCAACTACTGATCACAGTGCACATGGCTACTCCATTGTCTTGATAACATTTTTAAGCAGAAAGAAACTATTCTCAGTAAACATTCATGAGTCTCTTAGCCATACACACCTTACAGAATCCTTTAAACTCATAAGTCTGCAATAATCTTGTAATTGCCTTTTCAATCTCTACTCTACCCCACCTCAAACATGTAATCAAACCTAAACTTGGTTAAATTATTTTCCCATAGTGTAATATATTTTTATTGTCCGCGTCCACTTCTAGAAGCCAACAGTCTCTCTTTTTTTATTGCTATTATCTTACAGTCATAAGAGCTCCATAGTTGGGTTATGATTGCTTCAAATGAAGAAACTTAGTCCAGGTAATTTCTCACGACAGAAGTCCACGAAGAAGGTTAACTCTGAAATCAAGCACATCAGATAATGCATCCAAGTTCAGACATTTGATTTATTACCTTCCCTCCCTAGTGATTAAATATTCGGCTACCCATTGAAACCACACATATATTCATAAGGTAATGGTCAAAGCAGGTTCACTGTGCACTAACTTTCCACCTTCAATCTCTGAAGAGGAGCATCAGTATACAACTCTGAATAACAAAGAAAGACTGGATACCATGATCTAAGAAAGAACAGAAGCAACTAATGAGGGCATGAGATTCAGATTTCCCTCCCCAACACCGGGTTCTAACAAAGTTTTCCTCTGTGGTAAAAGACCTGGAGAACAGCTGTCAGAAATATGGCACAGCTAACCCTCGAACAAATTAAAAAACACCATCTGCAGGCACTGCAGTCTGATACACAGATGTGCGCCAGCACAAAGCCCAGGGAAGAAAAAGCGGGTTGGTGGGACCGAGGTTAACGTGACTGAAAGCAGACAACATATGGTTCTCCAAAGAGAAGGGCGCTCCACTACTGAAGCCAACCATTTGTAACATTTATAAATAGCTACTGAACCTCTAAGGCACCCCTAAACGCCTACATTTGTGTGTTTAAAGTTTCTCGAAGAACAGTAGGTAGAGCAATTACAGAGGACTACAAGTTCAGCATCTTTTCATGTACCATTAGTCGTTCAGGTAGCCAAAGCCGGTCCCTACACTATCTTTAATCTGTTTCTCTCCCCCCACCCCACCCCCACCTAGCAACACCTCTCATTAAAACTAACTCTTTTGAAATATGCAGCACCAGCTAGCTTGTCCCACTTGCTAATGGTCCTGAATTGATTCTTAATTAGTTGCAGTTTTGGAAAGAATCCAATTAAAATAGTAGGAGATACCAATAGCTGAGGAGAACTCGCTCATATGTGTTACGCTCTGAGCTGCCATCCTTTTCGTTAAGGCTTGCTCAGGCGAGAGGCGACTATGCAAAATACGGCAGGATTCAAATCATACTAAACACGCTCAGGTTTTAAACAGAAACCTTCACGTGGTAATTTATCCTCCAGCCATAAAACATGATCAAAGAAAGGCAGCCAAACGCTGTTAGAAAAATTACATTCCTTCGCCCCACTTTCTCTTCTTCCTAAAAGGACAGGTTACTAATTCAGAAGAAGATGGAAGAATATTTTCAATATATCATATTTTTTATTTGCTGTGTGTTTTCCAGTCCCCTACTTAAATTCTAAAATGGGGGAGCATAAAGCTCAGTGTGGGAAGAAATAAGATGGGGGAGAAGAAAGTAGCTCAGTGTGAGGAGGAAGGCTGCAGGCAGCTAAACAGGATATTTTCCAATGTTCTTCCCCAAAGCCTGCCTGCTACCAGCAAAATTCCCAATGTTGTTTATGAGGGCAGCTGGAGGTCATTTGACAGGTATGGCTTTTATGGTTCGGATTTAATTATAGAAAAGTGAGGGCTCAGGAAAGCAAGGTCTCAGGAAACCTAGGCAGGAGGACTCCTGCCACTGCTGGTAGGTGACAGTCACGTGACCGCTTTTGTATTCGGTGGTAATAACTCATTGCCCCAGCCTGGGATGGAGCCCAGTTCCTCTATCCCCGGAGGAGCTTCCACCAGGCGCAGACTCACAGAGCCTTTGATCTGCAGATTAACATGATCAGAATTCAGGCTTTGTCTTTTGCAAACATCCCTGTCCTGAAATTTGTATCCAATGAGAGGTTGAGCCCACTTTTATTTGAATAATGAATTGCAGTAATTAATACACACATTGATTTTTTTTCAAGTCTCCCCAAAGGCTCTTTCTATTTTTAATTTCTAGAAAATACATATCATTCTCTTAATAAGAAACTGCTCTATTTTTCAAATTGCACGTGGAAGGGGATGCAAGCACAAGCAAACAACAAAAACATTGAAACAAGTAACATTCAAGATGGAGAGAAGGCTGGATTCAAGAATTCAAGCGGCTTTGTGGACAGAAGCTGCCCCTGTGGAATTTCACTACCTGCACCGGATCTGTCAAACACTTCCGAATGCTTTTTAAAGGCATGGTTATTTCAAGTGTGCGGTATTCATGTGGATAAATATCCCCTTCCTTTTAAACTACGGGTTTTCCCTTCAACTATTAATAAAAGAGACATCCTGTACAAAAAGAAAAAAAATTAAATCTAAGTCCGTTGAAATTGTGTCATTTTAATTTTGGTTTAATGAGGGTCATATGATTTCTTCTAATGCCTCTAATGAGAGAGAAAGAAGTAGAGAGACAAAGAGAGAGACAGAGACAGAGCGACAGAGAAAGATTGATTGACAGTCTTCCTTTAGTTGCACCTTAAGGATCGGCATGGGCTTAGACTAATGGAGCTTTTCTTACTTGGGAAATAATTCTTTTCTTACACCAGGGTTCTTAATATATACCAATACAGAGAAAGGTGCACGCGCGTGCGCGCGCGCGCGCGCGTGTGTGTGTGTGTGTGTGTGTGTGTGTGTGTGTATGTGTGTGTGTACGCTCGCGCGCGCATCTTATACTTATCTAGAAGTCACAGGTACTAACAGCCAGGTAGGAGGCAGTCAGCTGTGACCTGGGAGGAAGGAGGGTTTGGAGGCGCATGCAAACAGAAGAGATACCTGATTGACCTTTTGCTGACTCTGAGCCACGTGATGCGCAGGCCGCCTTCTTAGAGTGATGGCTTTAAAAGAAGATGTTAAATTTAACCTCTGGCGCAATGATAAATTGACAATAAAAAATTCAATGGCTTGGTAATTACCAATCACTTTGGACATCGGCAACATTTTTCAGTTCTGTCACTGCGCATCGGCACAAAAGCTTCAGCAGGAATTCTCCCGGTCTTCCTCTTTTTAACTTTGTTTTCATGATGCAGATTAAATCTGCCACCCTATTACTGATTCATTTTCCTAATTTTTCATGTCTGCACCATGCCCCAGCTGCACCAGGCTGATAATTGTGGAGCCCAGCCCTGATGATTAACATCAGAAGAATTAATTATGCCTGCCATTAAAATTCCGGGTTGCACATGGTGATCAAGAAAAATTAAGTTTCTCTAGGCCTCTAAATCATTTCACCTTTGCAGGCAAGGATAGCGCCTGGACAGCTAGGCGGCAGCCTGTGCTCCTGCTGAGGTCGAAACCACACGCCCTTTGTGTGTAATTCAACGAAGGCTATCCCGGCTATTTTTTTTGGGTGGGGGGGGTGTCCAGAATTTGGACGAAAGATTTACTGCTTAAAAAAATAAAGGGATCCTGAAAGATATTCTTAATCTTTTGCTTGGGACGAGAGGGTGGGTAAAAACAGTGTTTGTCAGCACCTCAGACGCTTCTCCTGAAATATCTGTTAAACTAATCTGTAGAGAAATACATTGCTGGGAGAAAAGAAAGACGACCCTTGGAAAGAGCTGAGGAATCGAGGGTGGCAAAGGCTCCAGCTTGGCAGTCATTGTAAGTGGGAAGACAGGAAATGTTCATTCAAGCTGACAAAGGCTGCGGCATTTCTTGGAAATAAATTGATGACAGAATAAAAACAGATTCCTCAAATCTTTAGGCTAAATAATAATGAGTAAAAGAAGCTGTTGACTGACGCATTTCCAAAATGATTGTTGCATGAGAAACCCACAATGTATTCTGTGTACCCTAAGGTACAGAATTTACTGGAGCCGTAGAGGATCAGATGCCCTGCATTTATCATGCTCTCTTCCTACTTTGTGTTCTGTTTTTAAATTACCATGATAATGTATATTACAGGCATGGCTTTCGAAGCCTACAGAAGGAGTCATATTTTGATGAACAGATGTAAATATCTTTATACCAAATGGTAAATCTCTCTCACCTCTATGCAAAGAGTATGCACAAGCTATGCATCAAATCGGTTTCTTTTATTACATTTAATAAGTGATACCGTAAGACAACTGCTTCAATAGATGCTCTTGTTAGTTTTTAGTGGTTGTAAATTTACAGGGGCAGGTTAACCACACACTCATTCCAGGTGAGATAGTGGGGTGCAGGAAAGAGTGAAAAGTTAATTTTAATACAGCTATTTCAGAAAAAAAAATAAAGCCCTGTCTGTTTTGAAGCTAGCATCTCTTCCCAGGAAATCACTGGACTTTGTGACCTGAGGAAATCCCGGGTGTAATGAATTAGTAGCTTATCCAGCCCCGCCCCTCTGTGTCTCACAAGGACTGCCTTCCATAGGCACACACATGCTCTGACCGCTAGTTCCTCACACAAAGGCAGACTGACTGCACGTTTATTCTTCTTGCCGGGAGTTTTCAAAGATGATACGATGAAAGTAGGCAAGTCTACTGAAAGACCAGAGTTTGAAAAGTCATAAAACCTGTTCAAAGAACCCTAAAAACAGAGAGATCCAAGCAGACAGCTAGGTAAGCTCCTCACGCTTTTCTTCCTGGTGACAGAGCGAACTTTTAAGAGGCTGTTTTCTGGAAAAGGTTCAACTCCTTCAGAAGGCCTAAACCCAGAAGGAAAAGCTGGCTACACGCATTTTAATGTTTCCTACATTAAATAATAAAAAAAAAACCCACACACACTAGAATTAAAAATTCAAGTCAATATCGAGATCTAGTCTCCTCAATAACAATGAAATTAAAGATGCAAAATATGAAGAAACAGAGAGAAGGGAGGAAAGAAAAAGAAAAGCAAGGGGAGGGCCAGAAATATATGTCACTTGGACTCCAATATTATTCAAATTAAGCATATATAATGCAACATCTAATAATTCTGAAGTATTAGTAAGTAGCATAAGAAACAACAATGTAACACTTAACCCTAACTCAGTGGTTCTCAATCTGGGGGTTGAACAACCCTTACACAGGCATCACCATCAGAAGACACATATAGTTACATTGCCACTCGTAACAGCAGCAAAAGTACAATTATGAAGAGGCAATGAAAATAAGTTTATGGTTTGGCGTCATACTCTACTAAAAGTTTGCAGCATTGGAAAGGTAGAGAACCACTGTACCTACATTATCATAGCTGGAAATCAAGATGGCGGCTCGGAAGACATGTCTGCCCTTCTCTCATAGGTTTATGAGAAGCAATAGATGTGGTGTGGGGAAAACAATGGAACGCACAGGACGCTGTAAGAAAATAGATGAAGGGCTTCCTGAAACTATATTGAATACTGAGAATGGGGCAAAAGGATGCAAGGATTTCCCACCTGCATGCATTTCCCCTTTCTAAAAGACCCATTTCTTAGTTAATGCTAAACAAATGGGCTCATATCTGCAGCAATGAGAAGAGAGCAGAAGAGAAATTTCACTATCATAAATACTAACTTTAATTTTGCTTAATACATCATTTCTGATGTATTGCTAATGTTCATTGTTACCACTAGTGCTTGTGCACTTGCTGCAGGGGGTATGGGTGAGTGGGTGGGAGTGTTCCCCTGAAATACATGAGAATAACAGTGCTGTTCTCTAATTAGGAAAAAAATAGTAAGCTGTTCATATTAATTAACTTTATTCCCACTGCTAATAAGCTTTTTTATTACCTAATTTTATTTACTCATTGGTTTTCTGGTGCTATTTCATTTAAGTAAAATTGTTCACAGTGAGTAACTCTATCCAGATAGAAATATGATTGGTTTGTTGTCTAGGCTTGGAGTCTATTGGTAACTTGCAGTATTGGCTATATTTTGGGGTTCTTATTTTGGGTAAGCAAATGTTCTAAAGTTGACATGGGATGCAACCATCTATGTATATCTTTAAAAATCATTTACTCTAATAAATTCTATGCTATGTAGAGTAAGTCTCAATAAATCTATTAAAGAGAATGGATCTTATGTCAAGCAACCAACTATTGGAGGGATTCCATCTCCCCCTTCCCTTTTGACAAAAGTTGGATTTGTGCTGCAATTTCTTGATTTGGCAAATATTCTATAGGACAAACTTTGTCCTAAGAGATAAGGATGCCATCAACATGGCATGCAAAGAGACCTGGCCTCGTGAAACTTACTCATCTAGGGAATAGAAACAGACACTTCAATAAAATAGGAGAACCATCGAGATCATGGTTAAGAAACAAAGCCTTGTGAAGTGATTGGTGTGGGTGGTAGAGGATGCTATTTTAAATTGTTCTAAAAGCATCTTTGAGGAGGTGGCATTTGAGTTAAGAATGACAAGAATCAATTCATGGAAATATCTGGGGACTGACAGACCCAAAATGACTAGTGTCTTGGGACATTAACAGGACTGATGTCTTCATAGAAGAGACAGCTGTGCGTAGAGTAATCAAGCTGTCACAGAGTCCTCCAAGGCAAGTGGGACATTAGTGAGATCATGTCACAGACCTTCAAAGCAGGTCCATAGTCGGAATGACTACAGTGCATATGTATAAACCCAAAGACTACATCTTAGAGCTAAAGTGGAAGTTTTCTAATTGTTGAAGGTGTGGGCACAAAATGGGATAATCCCAGCAAAGTAGGGCATCTGCTCACCAAATAGAAAAGCCAAGATTTCACTCTAACTTGAAATGGGAAGCTGCTGGTGGGTATTAAGCTGGATTGCAGAGAGTATGAAAATAACCCCTCTAAGGGATCCCCAGAGCCAGTTCTTGATTGGGGAGATTAGGGATGGAAATGGTCCAGGCAGGTGGCAGATTTGGCATCTATGACTAAATCTAGAGGTGCCTCTAGCCACTCCACCACACAGGGTTATGTTACAAGAACTCTTGCAGCAAGACCAGATGGAATTGTTCTCCTCCCTCAGCTTAGGGTCAGTTCCAGGACATGAAAAGTGTTTTTGCTGATCCCCAGGGCTCTGTGACATACCATAGAGCAGAAAGCATTTAGGCTTGGAAACATTTCAAAGCAGGTGCTGCCAATCACCCCTGCAACCAAGAGAAGGTTCAAAAATGCTCCCAAGCAACATCTGCTCAGGGCATGGGAGCTCTGTGCTTCCCAGGGACCTACCAAGGGAAAACAAGCTATGAAACACATCCTTCATCAATTGCCTAAAATGTGGGACCCAGTTTACTGACTTTTAAAACTTATCTACCCAAACCAATTATTTTTATCTTAGTTGAGTAATGCTGGTGTATGTTGTCTCTCTGACTCTAGTTAGACATCCCAATGTTACTAATTCAGGGATGAGTAACAATCAACCGATTGCCCATAAAATATACCTTGAAATAGTGACTAAGAATTGCATAGGGACAAGGAGATGACTCAGTAGGTGGAGTACTTCCTGTACAAACATGAAGTTCTGCATTCAGGTCCCAGAATCCAAACTTGGCACAGAACCTTTAACTCCAGAAGGGTCAGAGGTGAGGCCCACAAGATGAACGTGGCACCTGCAGATCCCAAGGGGCTCGCTGGGTAGCCTGGCGAGCTGAGTCAGCAAGCTCCAGGTTCAGTGAGCAACCTTGTTTGGAAAATGAAGTGGGAAGAAGTAGAAGATACCCAATATCAACCTCTGGTCTCCACACAAGCACACAAACTTGTGTGCATATATATACAAACTTGCACACACATGTACATACACACACATCCACCACAAGTGAAAGGGGAGGATGGAGGAAAGCAAGAGAAAAGAGAGGAGTGTGGGAGCCTTAGAGCTAGTCATGGTGGTCCAAGTTTGTAATAGCAGCTACTCAGGAGGCTGAGGAAAAAGAAAGGCCAGCTTGAACTGCATATCAACCTCAAGACCAATCTAGGTGACTTATCAAGGTCCTATTAAAACAACAACAGTAATTCCAGGCCTGCTGTTCACACCTGCAATCCCAATATTCAGCAGCCTGAGAATTTGAGACCGGTCTGGGCTACACA